TTAACATATAGGCATATTCTTATTTCAAAAATCCTTTCGGGCTCCGCCCCAGTGGCTCTGGAGTTTCCCATGTTAACCTTATGAGAAATGGAATTATTGAATCTTAACAGCTGTTTCAATTAAACAAGTTGGTTCTGTTGTATGATGTTCAATAGCATTAAAGTTACAAGGATTACCAACAGGGTGCAGCACTATTATTTCTTTTACATTTATGACAACAGCTAATTTGCAACCAAAAGGTGAGTGAGCGTAGCGAACGAACTTCAACCTGGAGGCGAGATAGCGTAGCGAACGAGCTAACCTGAAGGCAAGTGAGCGCAGCGAACGAGCTCCAACCTAAAGGTGAGTGAGCGTAGCGAACGAGCTCCAACCTAAAGGTGAGTGAGCGTAGCGAACGAGCTCCAACCTAAAGGTGAGTGAGCGTAGCGAACGAGCTCCAACCTAAAGGTGAGTGAGCGTAGCGAACAAACTTCAACCAGGACGTGATTGAGCCATGCGAACGAGATAATCTTGAAAATTAAGAAGTTAAACGGGGCAAAGCCCGCGGGTTACAGCTAGTAGAACTATAAACGTAGGATCCCGTGAGTCCTTAAAACACTGTAATACGATTAATATTATTTGTTTTACACTAATACAATTTTTTTGACGTTTTGATACCAGTATTATATTTACCGGTTGCTGTAACGTGAAACATGTTTTGGAACATTAGCAACAGTGTATATAAATCCAAGACTCGCCTTTGGCTCGCTAGGGGCTCCGCCCCCAGGCCCCCTTTTTGGTTGGGGGTAAGTAAAGATGAGCCAAGGGGGACAGGGCGCAAGACCTACAATCGGGCCAAATTTCAGACATCCAGTTAATCTAGAAATGGGTAAACGTGATTTAGACTTACGCACCTGTAAGAATAGCATTGGGGCAGGGGAGGATATAATATTAGGGAGGGGGGGGGTTGGAAATACGATAGGGGGATTAAACTTTAAGTAAACCAGAGTATATACAAAATATTAATAATGTTTGCAAAAAGAATTTACTTAGATTGGGAAAAGTAGCGAAAATTGGGGATAAAATTTTGTAAGTACAAATGTGCCACAGGGGGACAGGGTGCAAATTTCAGGATTTTTAGCTAATCTAGAAATTGGTAAACGTGATTTAGACCGATGAATCTGTGGTGGCTATAGGATAGATATAAGGGGGATTTCGAGAGGGGGGGGGGACTTTTTAAATGGTCCTTATTATATTCATACCTTGGTGTTAGCTCTAATACAGTAAACTTTGTATAGTTTTAATAAAATTGTGCATACAGAAAAGGTAAAGAGTCTATTATTACCTCGTGAAACTGGTAAAACCTTTTAAATTTTGATATTAAACTTAAGTTTTGGGGGTCAAGGAGTAAAGTTACGAAAAAAAACATGTATGATTAAAACCGAAATTAAGCCAAGAAAAATACAAATCATTGATAACATTTGCAAAAAGTGATTATTTAAGGATGTAAAAATAGCGAAAACCGGTAAAAACTTGAAAAATACCAATTTCTGAAAGTAGGACGTTTTTTAGGGGTGAAGGGAAGAAATTGTCGGAAAACACGTGTAAGGGTTTTGTAGAAAATTAAATTCCTGAACATGAAAATCCATTCAAATCTTGGCTAGCTCCTATTGCTTTTTAGTTATAGCCGTAAAAAACGTGTTATATCGTCTTTAGATATCCGCCATTTTGGATTTTTGGGGAGTTAAAAATTTTAAAATGACTTAAAAGTGACTTTTGCAAATTTCACCCTTAACTTAGTATCCCATACTACAATACTGCCAAATTACAAGTCTCTAGCACGATTCTAAACGATTCTGATGACCATTAAATTTCAATGTTATTCTCCATAATAATAACATTGGGCTCGTAGTTTTGGGGGTCAAGGAGTAAAGTTACGAAAAAAATGTAAATGAGTAAAATTTAAAGCAAAGTAAGGGAAAAGCAATAATAATATTTGCAAAAATAAATTATTAAAGTATAAAAAAATTGCGAAAACCGGTAAAGATTTTATAGAAATTTACCAAATTTTGAAAGTAGGGCGTTTTTTGAAGCTGAAGGAGTGCGATTTTCGGGTAACGCTTATAAGGGTTTTGTAGAAAATTTAATTCCTGTTCATGAAAAATCTTTCAAATCTTTTCTAGCTCTTACAGTTTTCGAACTATAGCCGATTGAAAAAAACGTGTTTTGTCGTTTTCAGAGGTCCGCCATTTTGGATTTTTGGGTGTGTTAAAATTTAAAAATTGGACTTTTGCAAATTTCACCATTAACTTAGGATCCATTACTAGAATACTAACAAATTTCAAGTCTCTAGCACATTTCTAAACGATTCATTTGACCATACCAAAGTCGTCAAATTTCAATCTTATTCTGCATGAGAATAATATGGGGCTTGTAAAAGTGGTAAAAACTTAAGTATTTTGGGTCAAGGAGTAAAGTTACGAAATAACATGTAATGTGTAAAATTTAAAGTAAAGTAAGGAGAACACAAAGCAATAATAATATTTGCAAAAAGGAATTGTTTAAGTATGAAAAAATAACGAAAAACGGTAAAAATTTGAAAGAAATTTACACAATTTTGAAATTAGGGCGTTTTTGGAAGCTTCAGGAGTGCGATTTTTGGAAAACGCCCCGAAGGGTTCAGTATAAAATTTAATTTCCTTTCGCTAAGATCCTTTCAAATCTTTTCTAGCTCTTACTGTTTTCGAGCTATATCCGTTTGAAAAAAAAACTTGTTTTATCGTTTTCAGAGGTCCGCCATTTTGGATTTTTGGCGGGGTTAAAATTTGAAAATGGGACTTTTGCAAATTTCATCATTAATATAAGATCCCCTACTACAATAATACCAAGTTTCAAGTCTCTAGCACGTTTCTAAACGGTTCAGATGAGCATACTAAAGTCGGCATTTTTCAATGTTATTCTCCATAAGAATAACATGGGGCTTGTAAAAGTTGTAAAAAACCTTTAAATTTTGACATTAAACCTAAGTTTTGGGGGTTAAGGAGTAAAGATACAAAAAAACATTAAATGAGTAAAATATAAAGTAAAGTAAGCAGAATACAGAGCATTAATAATATCTGCAAAAAGAAATTATTTAAATATGAAAAAATAGCGAAAACCGTAAAAAATGTGAATGAAATTTACAAAATTTTGAAAGTAGGCCGTTTTTTGAAGCTGAAGGAGTCCGATTTTTGCAAAACGCCTAAGAGGGTTTTGTATAAAATTTAATTCCTGTTCCTGGATATACTTCAAATCTTTTCTATCTCTTACCGTTTTCGAGCTACATCCGGTTGAAAAAAAAGTGTTTTTTCGTTTTCAGAGGTCCGCCATTTTGGATTTTGGGGGGGGTTAAAATTGGAAAATGGGACTTTTGCGAAATTCACCGTTAATTTAAGATCCCATAGTACAATACTACGCAAATTTGAAGTCTCTAGCACGTTTCTAAACCGTTCAGATGGGCACACCAAAATCGGTCATTTTTAATGTTATTCCCCATAAGAATAACATGGGGGGAAACCCCTAATTTCGGGGGGGTTAAAATTTAAAAACGTCACTTTTTGGAATTTTCCCGGGGGTTTGGGCACTAGACCTACAAAACACCGAAAATTTCAAGTCTCTAGCTCATCTAGAAGTGGTCTAGAATTTGTATACCTGAGTCAGTAACACATCGGGCTGTATATTATTTAGACTCGCCTTTGGCTCGCTGGGGGCTCCGCCCCCAGGCCCCCTAGCTGTTAGTCGTCATTCAGAAATTTAGGAAGGGGTGAGAGGCCATCACCAAGAAGCCGGGGAAATTTCAAGCCCGTAGCACACCTAGAAGTGGTCTAGAAAGCACTCTCCGCATCTCTAAATTCTTTGTGGGGTTGTAATAGCGAAAATCGATATTGAAGTAATAACCATTTCACAAAATATTCGAGTAGATTGATAAGTATAGAATAGTAAAGTATTATATTAAGTAAATAGTTCATAGTAAATATTCATGTATATGTTTATGAAAATAGATGAATTTATTTTTGTTTCCCTGTCAGTTAGCCACAAACTGTATGGCATATCCAGTTCCGCCACGGGGAGGCCAGGAAACGTAGGAACCATATTAATTTACAATTATTTATATTAACAGTTATAGTATTTCAAGTAAACAGATGTTAGTATATATTTATAAATTTATTAATGAAAATAGATCAAGTAATGTTTGTTTCCCTGTCGGTTAGCCATAAACTGCAAGGCATATCCAGTTCCACCACGAGGAGGCCAGGAAACGTCGGAACCATATTATTAATTACATGTACAAGTCAGTAAAATTTTGTATAAGATAAGTAGATTGATAAGTGAATAAGTTGATAATAGTAAAGTATTATATTAATTAAATAGATTATAGTAGATATTCATGTATATATTTATGAAAATAGATCAAGTAATGTTTGTTTCCCTGTCGGTTAGCCATAAACTGCAAGGCATATCCAGTTCCGCCACGAGGAGGCCAGGAAACGTCGGAACCATATTTACAATTATTAACACATGTACAAGTCAGTAAAATTTTGTATAAGATAAGTAGATTGATAAGTGAATAAGTTGATAATAGTAAAGTATTATATTAATTAAATAGATTATAGTAGATATTCATGTATATATTTATGACAATAGATCAAGTAATGTTTGTTTCCCTGTCGGTTAGCCATAAACTTTATGGCATATCCAGTTCCGCCACGAGGAGGCCAGGAAACGTCGGAACCATATTTACAATTATTTACAAATATACAAGTTAGTAAACTTTACTAACTACCTAAAGAAATATGAACAACAACTTAACTAACTAATAAAAAGAAGAAAAAAAATATATACAACAACGGGGACTTTTGATAAGGCAGGCCCCCTATCGTACTGCCAAACTAAAATACTAAAAACACGAAAAACGACTTATTTCTAAAGAAAAAACTTAAAGGGAATATATACAACAACCTAAAGCTAAAGTCAAGTCAGGGTTAGAGGAGGAGATCGTCATACACGATATTTTTCGCGTATGCGATTCCCCCTTGGACACGGTCGGGACGGACAAGGACGACTATATGGTCTGGATGCCTGACTCTACTGAGAAGGACGTACAACTGACCATGGGTGAAACAGTCACTGCGAAGATCGACTCCGACGCGATCAATCGTCTGGCCCTGGCTTTTGTGGCCAGTCATGGAATATGCCAGCATGAGAGGGAACTGAAGACGGCGGACACGAAGCGGTGACCCCTCGACGAACGGGAAAACGAACTGAATCCGGGGGATACAAATCGGATCATGTTGTCCAGGGAGTCGCACTGTGATCAGACGAGGTCTTATTGCCGTCACGATCACTTTAGTGCCGTTTACGAGTCCGCTGTCAATGTTCAAGTTCCTCATGACGAGACACACGGAGCCAATCTTGAGTCGCAGGACATGGTCTGGTACACCCTTGCCAGTAGCTTGGTTCAACAAGTGAACGTCTACATCCATACCATCGTCGTTCTCCTTGTCCACAGAATCAGCACTCCTCAACTCATGAACGACGCCGTCCATCAGGTTGAGGACGGTGTTGTTGATCTGTTGGACATTGGCGTTCATGGTTGAGAGAATGGCCCTGCCTGCAATTCTGTCTGTGTGGTGTAGGTCACAAGCAGGAAACACAAACTCGATTAAGTCGGGAAGGGATGTCACGTATTTCACACCGGACAGTGGGATCAGGGCAACAGAGTCACGGCCTTCCCCAAAAGGAACAGATGTAATTGTTCCATTGCCTACTTGGAGGAGGAAGTCAGAGTAGGCAGTGGACCCAGAAGTCCGGTGAGGAGTGGAGAGAGAAAAGATTTTGAAACTTGACCACAGAGATGACGCACACAGTGATACACAGGCAATGTCGGCCGGAGTACGAGCCTTGGCAACAACTGGTGCGATCTGACGGAAATCTCCGCAGCAGATAAAGATCTTATTCCCGAATGGCTCAGGTGAATTCATGAGATCACGCAGAGATCTGTCGATGATTTCAAAAATGTACCGGTGAGCCATCGGGGCCTCATCAAAAACTATGAGCTGTGCGGCTCTGATGAGTTCTGCCCGCTGAGATCCGTTGGTCAAGTTCCAATATCCAGTGCCATCGCCGAGATCAAGTGGTAGCCGAAACATGCTATGTGCTGTCGTGCCACCAGGCAGATTACCAGCGGCAATGCCGGAGCTAGCGACAGCAATAGCGACCTGGTTACGACTACGGACGTATGCGAGGATAACTTGTATTAGACAGGTCTTGCCGTAGCCTCCGGGTCCGTCAAGAAAGATCAATTTTGTTGATCGACGATCGACTTGGCCCTGTAGTAGAGACCGAACATGATCGAAGACCGCCCTCTGGTCGCGGGAAAGTTTAGGTTCCCACTCATCTACAAGTGATCTCTGACGATTTTCACCGTAGATGAGTAGTTCCCTCCCCAGTTCGGTCGTGTCGTCATCTACAGTAGGGAGACCGTGATCGGCCAAGCAGGATCCCTGACGTCGAAGGCTTCGGTCGATCTCAATTAGAGCCAGCTTGTACGCAAGCTCGTGATCAAGAGGATTCCGCTCTAAATGGTCTTCGCACAATGCGTCACGGAAAGCATCCCACAAGAGGGCCGCAGGAGCTCCCATGTTACACAGAAGGACAAAGAAAGAGCGGAGCCTCGGATTCCAAAACAATTGTCCAAATTCAGCGACAAAAACTGCAGTATTTGCATAGTTTTGATATGAATTCAAGATAGTTGCAGTCCCTCAACTTGCTGTTTAAATTAAGGTAAACATATAAAATAAATCTGTTACGTGAAATTTTTCATTACTCAAAAGTTTGAAATGCCATTTACTTTGCATACCAATAAAATTGCCACTTTGAAATACGAACACAGAGAAATAAAACAGATGCATGACTCATTGACGTTTTGAAACTACTTTCCAAAACCCACACGAGACAACACATGTGATGTCTTCCATTATCATTACAGTTTCATTTTCAAAAATATGTCAATGTTGTCAATGGTTTTGGGCCAGTTATACCTTCTCGACGTAGCTTTTCACCACACAGACTCATCTCCACCAGCGACAGTAACAGTTTTTTTCCCAGTGTTTAGTTTGGATTCACAGGATGTAATCACCAGAATCCTCGTCTGTCGGCTCAACACTAATAATGCATGTAGCTTCGCTGCACCGCCATGCAGCTTCTCAATATTGCAAGCGATGTTATTGGTTTTTTGTTTGCACGTCACAGCTGCCGCTCGTCTTGTTTACAATTTCTTTGCTCAAATTATTCCCTCCCCCCCCCCGCCTTAATCCCTTCATCCTCTAGGCTACTGACGATTGTGCCTATTGATTGGGAAGTAAACAATATCTTGAGAGTTTCAAGAAGAATTGACTTAAAAAAGGTTAACGATCATGAGACTTATTTGACTACTTGGCATTTAATTAATTTATGAAACCAGCGTTAGAGAAACTATACAAAGAGATTCTAGACATATGTGAAAGAAATGTTTACCATCGTGTCGACAGAATAAACAAAAATAAAAAAAACTTATGAAGTGTTGAACATTAAGGTGTAAATTGTAGGGATATCGTTTACAAAACAGCTTTGACTGGGAAAACCGATCCAGTAAAATGACATAGTATTTCTATCTTCTTTATTACGTAAGGTAATACGTAAGGCAGAGGCGATTGACCCAATTGCGCTTAAATAATTATTATGAGCATGGTATGAGTGAGACGGCTTGTAGAAATTTGATACTGACCAAGCTTTAACCCTGGACCCTAGGTTTGGATGTAATGCCTAACTGCCTAGAACGTGTTTAAAGGCAAAATATTATGATTCATCGACATTCACTTGACATTATTTCGAATAATTTCGAACAAACTTCATATCAAACCAACTAAGTTCTGAAGCGTTATTAGCGTATGAAAAATATCTTATGTTCGACGTTTTTCAAAATTCGATCACTCCCATTGATTCAACCACTATTTAGCTGGAACACTACTACATTATAATTCCAGCAGGTAAGCGTCAATTTTTACACAAGTTTTATATCTATTCAAAACATTTCCTTACAGTAAATACAAACTACCAATGCACGATGCAATTTTGTAGCTTTTGAGTATCGTTTCCGATAATTTATTATTTTGTTATTTGTTTATTTAAATTCTTCCTACACCAGGACGTCACTAAACAACACGATTCTTACCTCAACCAAGACAGATGAATTAGCTTAAAGAGTTGTTTCCTCTAGTAATAATTTTGCAGTCAGTCTGTTAAAAAACTCTTAACGACTCACAAAGTACGTATTTGGTGGGAGGGGGTTGATGGGGAGGGGTTTTGATTAAAGAGCGGGCGCCGAACCGCGACGGTGTCTAGGGGCGATGTTGACATTTTGGCGTCGGCGACACCATGATTGGAAACATAAAGATAAAGCAATAACTTGATTGATGCGGCAACTGTCTGATTGTTTATGGGCACTTAGAGCTTCCGGTGTGTAGGGGGGATATTACCACCCGACACCTGCTTCTAGTCATTGAGTTAATCAGATTAATGGAGAGATTAGACCACTCAACGTTTTAAATTAATAAAACCAGTTTTATATTGAGTGTTAATTAAGGCTGGATTTTTTCACCCCCCCCCCTATACATAGTATAATGGAAAAAGTATTGTTTATGTGAATATTTTTGAGCTCGTATTTGGAATGGATATGTCCATTTTGGGCCCCCTGAACCCAAAAAGTGGGTTTCAAAGAGATGTCTAAGTGTGTGCAAAAGTGCACTTACATGGCGTGTACGTACGGAGCCACAGACCACACCTGTAGTCCAATCTTGATTAAAACCAATTTGTGGGTACTACACCCATACACCTTCAGGCATTGTTTATTTTTTTATTTAGCAATTTTCACACAAACCCATAAAATAACAGAAAATTGGGTTATAACAAAATCAGTTCTAAACTACTCCAAACACAACGGTACAAAAAACCCAATGCTACAAAAATTGCGGCTTAAAAGCTGTTGCAGTTTTTGCGATTTTACCTATAACAAATCATAGTTACTCCCACCTCTTACCGCTTACATTAAGTTGTTAATAAAATAATTGGAGAAAGTGTCAGTTTGTTGATACCGTTTATTTACTTTATTGCGTATATCACATTGTAAATTACACATTTTTGTTTGCTCAACAACAAGCAAACTACAAGCAATAAATTATTGGGAACCGGACTACATTCTATCCATGGTTGATTATTTCCGATCAATAATGGCATAGACCAATGAAATTTTAGGAAAGTTGTCAATCTAGAGAAAATAGACATATATGTTTACGATGAATCTACTTATTCTACGGTTTTGTGGCAGTAAAGTGATTTATTCCAAACAAAACCCCCAAATAAAGAAGTAGAGGTCAAAAACCTTAAACAGTGTTACTTGAAAATATTTGCTTCTAACACAATTTTCAGGTTTTTAATCATATTCTTAAACCACCAAAAAAGAGTCAGGAAGGAACTATAGACCATAACTTTTACTAAAGACGACTTTTAAGAGCTTGTCCTATAACTATCCAGAGCTACGGTAATAGGGCTGTTAGTTGATTAAAGCATAACAGTCGACCTTTGTCGCTCATGCAGCAACTAAATGTTAATCCAGAGAAATGTCAAGTACGGACCTTACCCCTCCTCCACAGGGATGGGGGACGTCCCTAGGGATCCTACTGTAATTACAAAACGAGAGGATAAGCGGCCCCCATTAATCAGTTTTTGGCATTTTGTTCCGGCTAAAAGTCAAATCTGATTGTCAAGTTTGAATAAAGACGCTTCTCTCTGAGCGATAACAAGCATAACTTAAATGTGAGGCTCACTTGGTTTTATGTAAACAGGCTGATAAAATTTCTCAAAGAAATAATGAACAACATGATATTTGTATTTTTTTCGACCTCACTTTTTTATATGAGGATTATAAAGTTTTCTTTATATTTTCATAGTTTAATGTTAAAAATGACATCGCGTACCTTCGAGGCTTCGGCCGTTGATAGTTAAACAAGTTATCGGAAAATATATAACCTGTAAACCCCTGTAAATATCTTCTCTATCTCCATCGAAGTCAGGTTAAGATAGGGTAGCCGTAAAAATTAAAATCCTGCTGCTGGTATTGATGCTTGTGCTTGATTTAGGATTAAAAGTTATAATTTTATTAACTTCCAATACTATTGAAAAAAATGTGAAAGGACACATTTGCATGACCTCTCAATCCTTCCAACGAAAAATAAACAAGAATTCATACATTAAAACATTACATAAGTACTACATTTTTCTTGAACAAATCAGCTAGTTTTCCTCATCTACAAGTATTCGTTCACCGTTGGTAAGTAAATGGCATTGTTCACTGTAATACGACAATGGGCCATTACCCTAAGTGGATCAACATTATGACGTCTTCCTGCTGTCATCTGTTTGTCAATGCTGATTGTTTAAACAGCTGATTGTCGCCTAACCTCAAACAAACACATTTACATTATCACCACAGTATAACCTGGCTGGTATTTACCTTCAATTGGTCAATTTTCTAAGTGATTGCATCTATTGTTTAAACATTTTATGAAAATAACTCAGACGATCGATTATTACAATATTCAGTAGTGTTTTCTTCGTTTTCAATTCATAATATTGTAACTTTCAATACAATATTTTTATACTTTTAGTAGAATGAGAGAGTTACTTCACATTGATTTCATTTGACTGATGCATTCAGATAAATCTTAACAGGCAAGAATTGAAGAACGGATAGATAAAAAACGCGTTCTTATGATACAAAGAAAACATTTGATTCAGTTTTGAACACAATAAATCTACCAGAAGTAAATAATAACGTAACCCAATACTAAAAGTGTAAAAATCATAACTACTGACATGTAAAGTCATGCAAATTTAGATAAATCGCAAAAAATGTTAGTTCAAACCATTGCGCTTGTTTATTGACATCGTCTTCCATACATAATTCAAACATTTTTTTAAGCAAACTAATTAAAAATACCAAAAAATAATGGTTGAGTAAAAATGTTGTAGAATGAAATGTGTTTTCTAACTATTATGAACTAAATTTTTAACAGTGTTCTTTTATTGAATTAAATTTGCTAGTTTTTGGTGTTTTTTTTTTTTTGCAAATATGTAAGTTTCAACTTTTTGCAGTTTTAACAAACCGTTCGTATATTGATTTTCTGCAATTTGCAGTTCAACAGTACATCTAAAATTCTACATTTAAAATCAGTAAATAAATATAACATACCGTGGACCGCGATAAAAGTAGTCTGAGGAGGGCGTAATTGGGCAACAAATTACTCGTATAATTCGATTTCGAACTTTTATCTTTTTTGTTTTGTAAATGCCTATTATAATCACGGAGAATAGAATGAAGCTTTTGTTCGTACAACAGCTTCAATATGTTAAAACTAAATAAAAAGTATAAAAATATACGAAAAATCTTCTACTTCAATAATTAAAAAACCTCAATTGTATTACCATGGAAAATTACAAATTATGACTTATATAATAAATCATTAATATATTGTGTGATAAGTAATAAATTGAATCATCAACCATCATCAATTAACCATACATGTATTAATTAGTAATTGCCAGATTACAGAACTAACTTTGAGGAAAAGCTTTATTCTAACCCTAAATAGAACGATCCAGGGAGTAAAGTGTGTGTTGAAATAAAATATGCATTGCTATTTACAATTAAAATTATCAAACAAATAAGACTTTTATTTATCTATATAAATAAGTCAATTTATGAATGGGTTTTGGGAATGGTTCTTCTTAGTTACTCTAAATTTGCAACTGTTTTTTTTTTTACTCTGTTTAATTTTAAAGCCATATTTTCCCATTTGTTACATTTTGAACAATCATATGTTTGAAAACTTTACAATAATGACACGTTAAGGGGGTGCTGGTTGTATTTATTTTCTTAAAATGTCTCGAAAAACACTCTACTTCAAATGAAACAAAACACTGATGCCGTTAATGTAACTGATCATTATCGGGCAACAGAGGGACAACATTCGGTGTTTAACGTCCCTTGATTTGAAAGAAAAAACTCGGTTTTGCATATAAAATATCCCATTATCTTAAAGACGCCGTAACTCTAGAAAAGCGATTAAGATCGGACCCACAAACCGGATTGAATGCTAAGTATGCAGAACTTACTTTAGTTTTAAACGATCCTTTAAAAGTTTTTCAACTGGTCCCAAAGGAATAGCATTAACACGATATTCTGTGATGGTTGCTGTAAGTAATGTGTAACTCACTAATTTGTTACAAGTGATATAACAGACTTGATGGTAATGTTTGTTCTGTCATTACTACTATGTTGCCTTCCAATGTACTTGAAAAGTAAAGAGTACGATAAGGTACACATACATGATAACTCCGACACCACAAACTTATAAGCACGCACTGGAATTTGTAACCGACATAGGCTAATACCAAATTGAGATACTGTATATGTAATGTAAATGACACGGCTATTCAAGCTGCTAGATTTTGGAAGAAGATGATTTAATCAGTCAGTCCGGACACGGAAAGTAAGTAAGTAAGTACTGTATATGTAATTAAAAAAAGTAATGCCGTATGTTTTTAACCATAGCTTTGACTAGAAATGCCAGCCAATCGTAACTAATGCAATTTTCAGAATCATTCATATCCTAACAAATCTCGCAAATTCTGTCGTTTTGTCCTTAATCTTGATTTAAAACAATGTAACACTCTTTAATCAAATAGCATTTTACCAAAACCATATCCGACACTTTATAAAATAATACACTATCTTACATCCAATATCAGGACCAACGTTTTTCCAAACTGTCGGCCTATTTACACCCGTAAAATTCTGGTCGATTTGGTAAACAGTATTTTATTAATGATTGAGTATCAAATAAAACACACGGGAAATAACCCCTCATGGAATCTTGACACGGATTAAACTCAGCGCAAACAAATGCTATTGTTGAGACTCAACAGGGCTTCAAGTCCCGAGAGGGTATGTTTTTGATTACACGCCCTCGGAGTAGAATGGTTATATGAAGGGCACGGCGCCTTCTGTCCTACTTGTGAGAGGGATAGCGTATGGGGCGTAACATTTATTTTATTTTTTAAAGTTTCTATGTTTCGTTTTTCAAAAGTTTTAAAATAATTCCCCTTAGGTATAGTGGAAGAAGTAAAGGGTACTTAGGGTAGTGGGAGAAGTATAGGGTACTTAGGTATAGTGGAAGAAGTATAAGATACTTATGTATAGTGGAAGAAGTATAGGGTACTTAGGGTAGTGGGAGAAGTATAGGGTACTTAGGTATAGTTGAAGAAGTTTGGCTACTTGGGTGGAAGAAGTATAAGATACTTAGGTATAGTGGGAGAAGCATAGGGTAGCTAGGTATAGGGGAAGAAGTATAGGCTACTTAGGTATAATGGGAGAAGTATAGGGTACTTAGGTATAGTGGAAGAAGTATAAGATACTTAGGTATAGTGGGAGAAGCATAGGGTAGCTAGGAATAGGGGAAGAAGTATAGGCTACTTAGGTATAGTGGGAGAAGTATAGACTACTTAGATATAATGGGAGAAGTATAGACTACTTAGGTATAGTGGAAGAAGTATAGGGTTCTTAGGTATAGTGATAAAGTATAGGATACTTAGGTATAGTGGAAGAAGTATAGGGTACTTAGGTATAGTGATAAAGTATAGGATACTTGGGTATAGTGGAAGAAGTATAAGATACTTATGTATAGTGAAGGAAGTATAGGGTAGTTATTTATAGTGGAAGAAGTTTAGGATACTTAGGTGTAGTGGAGTTTCTATAGTATTACCCTACAGGAAATTCATTTTTACTAGCTCCAACTGAGTTAAAGCCAATTTCACCAAATTCTATCATGTTTTCTTTGAATTTTAATCGTACTTACATAGAGTTCGAATAAAGTTATCAAATATAGACACCGAATGTAACACACTCAATTACAATCAACAATTTTTTATATTCAGCTGCAAAATTCAAATACTTTTAACATCAGTATTCGTCCGTCCAATTGTTCAAGATCCTTACTTGGGATTAATTTAATTCAGCAAAAGAGTGATGTAATAAAAGACGCTATCATCTTATCCGAGGGAAGGTGTTGCACATAACTGTGAAAAACTTAATGGAATCTTCAAACGAAAGCCAAACTCAATTTCAGCTTAGAAAGTTTACACTCTCCCAAGATGTTATCTCTTTGAGGAAAATTCGGTAAAGAAGGTTTAGGTTCGGTTGAGGGCTCCTCAGTGAGGTAAAGGTGTAAAGTATTCCATTTGGAGGTTTCTTTGGACCATTCCGCATTTCAGATCCTGTCTTTAAAGATAAAGTGCGAAGTGTCTTAAACAGTTTTAGTACAAATTACGTTGACGTAAATTTCACAAATCGCCTGGAGTGCATTAAGGGGGAAAATGTTAACTAAACAACAGAAGTAATTGTTCATATTCGATTAAAACATGTTTTTGGGCGAATCGTTGGATTTATTATCAAGACAAAATTTGGCAATAATAAAACAAATGAGAAACGAACTCTACAAATTGTTACACGATTTTTCTATGGTGTTTTGATTTTTCAATTGACGTTGGATATGCGATTAACCTACTTTGACTCTTTGATGTTGAAAGACTATGGCAGTAAGTATCAGTTTTAATATTGATTTGTATGATGTGGTTTGGTTGTTAGACAAAACATACACGTATCTTAATTGAGTCAGTCAATACTAGTGTTACTGTGTAGAAGTAGGTTTGTCGCATGCTTCTTTTACTGCGTTATATAGTTATGGCTACTCTACTGTAGATTCACTAGGCTAAGTAATTACGCTTTCCAAAAGTATGTTTTCCAAAAATATCTACCCTTGGACCTTTACTGCCCCTTTTAAATGGTTGTAACCATGATTTCTAAATAAGATATCTAACCTCTTCACGTGGACGTCCCGGGCTCCAGGAGGGCTTCACTTCATCTTCAGGACAAGTCTCTATGTCCACAGTCTCCTCGTCGTCGTTGGTGTCAGAGGAGTGGCGAGGAGCGGAGTACACGGGGTGGAAGGCCGAGGGGTACAACTTGCCCTCCCCAGGGGGTAGAAGTAGGGGCGATGTCGGGGGTAGACCCAGCCAGGGTAGTGCGGAGTACGGCGACATAGGGTGCTTGTGCCACACGTAGTCCATGACGATCGGCAAGGGAGGGACCCGGGTGGGTGCTGGAGGAGGTAGTGGGAAGGGAGGAGGTGAGGGGTCCGCGCCTGGAGACTTGACTGGAGGCGATCTCTGGGGGTTGGAGGTGGAGGACAGTAGCCGCTTTCTGGTGCCACCGTTGAACATTGCCTAGAAGAAACATATCAGTATAGAGTAGAGCTTCCAAAATATTTACATACAAGCCACAGTATTACAAAACTGTAATAATTTAAACCCCTGCAACGTTTGGATGTAAAATATTACATGCATCTCGAGATGTTCCCATATGGATTCATTATCCTATTCCAATTGTATAAAAAATATGTCTTCTGAGTAGAACATAGTCAATGGTATAAAAGATATTATTCCATCAAACTCTTTAGATTGAATACATTTCACATTTTAATCCCAAAGTAGCATAAAATACTTCAACATTATTGCAAAGCTACAGGAAAAAGAAATAATTGATTTATAGCTATCCTTTATATATTAGTATTAGACATAAGTCCTAGCTCGTAGTCGTAAGCTGTTCGTACTTTCAATAAAGATATCCGAATCTTTTAAGTTACGCGCTTTAAAATAATTGCATTAATAATGAGTGAACAAAATACTCCAGTTTTTAAGCTATCCTTTTAATTAACATTCGTCATTGGTCCAACCATTATCTACTAAATACTTAATTCCTTAAACCAAAACTTTAACGTTTTTAATGGTAAAGCTTAATCCATATTTTAATGAAACACAAAGGTACAACTCAAAAAATTATAACTGCAATGTAACAAATAACTACTGTCACAACAAATAATCAAATCAAACGTCATATTTACTTTTACCTTGACGTCTTCCCAGGCGTGGACCACTTCTAGCGGAGGATTGCCACTGAGTCGCATGTGTCTCCTCCAGGAGTTGAAGTTGGCCGCGTCGGGCTGCACGTACTTGGCGTTGGGCCCGGTGCGGTGCGAGTGGAAGATGAACTTGTTGGGGGAGAAGAACAGTCCACAGATGGTGCACTTGATACACTTGGCTCTGGAGGAGTTATACCTGGAGGGGAGGAATGCTCCCCGACATCCCCAGGCGCACTCGTGGTGGACGCTGAACGCGAAGTCGTCCGGAAGTCTGGGCGGAGTGTTGTCTCCCAGGAAACTCTTGCAGAGCCTCTCGGCCTCCCTGAAGGAAAAGGTGGTAAAATATATTTACAATATGTATAATACGAAAAACTGGTCACTTCCATCTATGTATATATCATAGAATGTTTGTAAAAAATGTTTTGTATTGATTATATTGTTTAGCAAATAGTTTATTGCTAATTGAATTCACATGAATTTCTTAAAGACATATTAACTAGTTGTAATGCCTAACTTTGAAAAAAAAAAAATAAAAAAAAACTGTCAAATAAATAAATATAAAACAAATAAAATAAAAAAAATGTTTATGGAAAAAAATAATTAGTTATCTTAGCTACTTTTTGGCCCATAAAACCTATTGATAATTGCTTGTTGCTGCTTACCGGACGCCTTGGGTATGAAAGCAAAGACTTCTTTTACCATTGATTCTACAATCCATTACAAGAAACCAGATTCAAACATAATCTTAACATAATATTCATCAGTGGAAGTGCTACCTTCTAGTGATCATCCCACACCGTCGCGACGACACAGGCATGGCTCCTGCTCTACGTAGTATCTCCAGCTGTACAGGGGTACACTGCACACAGGTGATGCCCAGTGCCACCCGACGGTTGTGTATCTCGTTGTAGCTGAACTCCTTCAGCAGAGTGTTGCTGATCTGCGCCAGACAAAGTCGCTCCTGGTTCTCTATGACCAGCGAGACTATCGGCACTCCGTACAGCAACACTGTCCCTACCTGTGACGAAGCATTGGCTACAGGGAAATCTTGATCACTACACAGGCACTTTATGATCGATTGACAGCGAAGCAATAAGAACTATTTATTTAAATTTCTATGATAATGAACAGTAAGAGTCAGTTAAAGCCTTCATAATATATTTTATGATCTAACGAATAACCTTTCAGCTCTAGCACTATGCCATCTTAACTGTTTGCCATTTCGTTCACCTGAAAGTCTTGGCATTCCATTTAATATCAATTAAAATATTTAATTTAATGTAAATATTGATATTCTGCAATTTTTATCAGCCTATGCAACAGATGGTCGCCTGCCACTCTTTGGAGTACGCTGCCGCGTGAGGGTTAGGTTATGTTAGGTTATTTTAGATCAGTTTAATTGTTAATAATGATCAACCAAATATGATAAATGTTACCTTGTTTAGAATTAGGCCTTTTATAAACCAAACAGAACCAAACAGAACCAAGCTAACCAAACTGCCGTAGGACAGTGTAAAATATTATTCTTCAAAATACCATATGGCTTAACATTTTGTATATGTGTAATACATTAAATCGATATTATATCGCGTGAAAATGAAATACAAAACGATATACATGTTGGAGTATTATTTAATCCGATAATATATAGTAGATTCTCTGCGGAACTGTACCCCTGAAGTTCATACTAAAAGTACATGCAGGCGAAAAATATATAATATTATACAACAAAAATAAATACAGGGACATTTTTTTCAAAACATTGATTGTTTCGTTAACGTTTTACTTTTACTTTATTACCTGGTTGGACTTGGACGGGTGAACCTGTATGGAGGCATGCATCTTGTGGGTGTCAGATAGAAGCCGAGACTTGGGTGACTCTATACTTAACATGGCCGCCATCTGCAGAACACCAGCATGTCTTAGTACAAATAACAGTCTTCATCAACATGATTTAATTTAAACCTGACAATAGAAAAATTCAACTACCCATCACTGTTGAACACTAATTGACAGTTTTAATGAAGTAGTTTTAACCTCATAGTTGACAATCAGATTCCAGTAAGGCTTGTGAAATTTTGTTTACCCGTAGATCCTAGAATCCTTCAATAATTGAAGGACTTAAGGTCGTGGTGCTACGTAAGGTCGGATTTTAACTAAATATAAATCAAATTGTTGTGATGATGATACTTTGAGCCGCGGTCTTGATAGAAATTTAAAGTAAGAGTTTATAATTACTACATAACTTTTAAAACTAACTAACCACTTGAAATAAATATAGTATCAAGGTTATGTGGGGTAATTCGAGTAACTCTACAGAAAAAGACCAATGATTAAGTTGCACTAAGCTTCAAGTAAATGTGGATTGTATTACTTAGCTTCTGCTATATACATCTTTACACTCTAATTTAAATTTTCTTTTGAGGATTCAAAAATCTTTTAATAAGTACTAGAACATATATTACATTTTCAAGTAAAAGTACCTTAGATCGCCTTTCTTATGACTCTATTGCTTAAGATTAAGCATCGTCCGTATTGTAAATCAAGCGTTTTACGCTTGATACTTACACTATGATTGACAAAAACAAACAAACAATACTCTCTCAATGCAATACCCAGACTACGGTAGTAATCGATACAATATGTATACATCTGTGCTTGTTCTATACCGCATAGTATAAAATAAAATACTTTACCAATATTAGAAGCACACGGAATATAGATCGTAAATTGGTATTTTTGTATCCATGCATGGAACCACAACACATTCATTTTGTACCGCACCATGGTAATTGCAAAGACACCGACACGATTTCATACTAAAATACACCAACAAAAACCCTCGCGGGAAATGAAAATAAAACAACTTGCACGCGAATCCCAGCGGCGGAACAACCAGCATGCAAATCTGTGGTGGGATTGAGTGCTATAGGCGTAATTAGATGATAATGGAGTTACCAGGAGTGGTGCGGAGTATATACAGTTAATTGATTGTTGTGGGAGGGGGGGGGGGTGAGTCAAGGGTTGGGCTTCATCCCCTACTTGTATCATACGCGGAAACATAAGGGCTGGTCTGCACAGCGGACGGTATTGGTATTTTGTAGGTTTCATAGGTTATTACATGTAATATTAGTGTGGATTGTTTGGTCATTTTGAGTAAAAATGTTTTGACCTGAGTTTTTCAAAGGTCAACAAAGTCTTCACTTTTGAGTCCTTTATTAAAGAAAAAGATCAAAAGGGAATCTAGTGAATATCAACATATCAATTTTATGGATTTTGTTTACCTATATTATACCAATCCGTAAAATCTGATTCGCATTTATATTCGTTGAAAAATTGCCAGTTATAAAGACTTTGCCCAGAAAACATATGTGTAATCAATTATAATATTCAGATTTTATTATTTCAAGAACGATCCCTTCGTTAAAACCTTTATTTTCAATATGCAAATATACATCTTGAGCTAGAAAATTGAAAAATAAAATTTTCCTTTAATTAAGTTTACTCATAGGGGGTTTATCTATATGAGTGTATTTTTGAACTAGCCAACTGTATCCAAAGGTATTTTTTTTTTATTTATGTTTTATATCAGATCAAATTTACTAACATTGTTAAACTTTTCTAAGTAAACTGTTACAGATTCCCAATTGTGACGAGACGAGTGTGTATGACGTGGGGCTCGGTACAAGTGGACACTGGAGGCCCAGCTTAAAGGATTTGTAGCGAACGTTAAGGGCGATTTGGGGGCGCAATGAGGGTGAAATTGTGAGGTCAGTCGCAGCTGTCCGCCCCAAAACGTCGCATTTGTCGGGTTTTGAGAAGCCCAAACAGCTACAACTCGAGTTATGAAGTTCGTAGGCTACTTTGTTATAGAAACGTGATAGTGGAATATAGTCAAGTCTTACAACAATAAAGTTCGCTGACGTAGAGGCCTCTTTTATTGTTAATTTTTCCATGTGTTTGAAAATTTATCTAGTTCATTAAATATCAAGCTTTACATGCTTAATAACTCTGATTATACAAATACAAACCAAATTGCAACTATTAAAGGCTCAACAGCAATTTTTTGTGAGGGCGAAACTCTATAATACCTATTTTTAAGTCATCAATCGCGTTGTTCTATGTAGGCCTATACCTTTTGGCCTCAGGCCAATTTCAGCATACTTAGGTAAATCGCGAGTATCGGCAATGAATGTAACCATGTATTCATTGGTATCGGTGTAAAAAGGCGACTTTTGCGCTTTTCTATCCATTTTTGTAATCTATCTTTGATTCTTAAAACAAAGATCATACATCTATATATTAGGTGTATTGTTATTTCTAACGACTCGTCAAAGTGTATATGCTTAGCGTTCGGAAAATTAGATTGTTTTGTAGACGAGGATATAAAAATATCTTTTCGCTCATATATATTTTTAAATAAATCTCAAAAAAGTATACTATGTATCGTATTAATTTTGTAAAAATGTTCAATAATAATGGGAGTGATTTAATGTCATAATTTACAATGAACATTACAACATGCTGTACGAAAAACATAATATGTTATCCTATCATACTACCACTATTGAACTTTAACCAATTTGGTTCAAAATTCCAAAACAATACGTAGCAAATTGTGTTAGTTGCTGATGGTAAGCCTACAATCTGTACAAGCTTCAAGTGTACAAGAGGGCTCGACATTTAACTAAGACGAGCTCCAATGTAATCTTCTGATAATTACCAGACTCGGGTCCGCCATGAGATCCCCAGGGGTACACGGGAGAGAGGGGAGGGATTGTCCCGGTATTCAATTTGACACCAGCGCCGAGGAGACTAACCCAATGAACAAGTTTCACGCTGTTGTGATTCGGAAAATTAAAAATCACAATCCTCCCGGCGCCGGGTAATTCCTTTATGTTTTATTTAAGCTGCCACCATCGCTGTTATTGCGGCTTTTGTTATTACGTGAATAACTTTGTTATGGGAGAAGATTTCACGAACTGCTGTCGCAATTATAAAACAATTCTGTTTCTGATTGTTTCAGTTGTGGTGTATCTAAAGTTACCGCTGTATTAAAGACCTGGGTTCGACCATAACGGCGTATAATCGGCAACTAATTGCTGCAGAATAAACAAGTATTATACTCCAACTCCCTCGTACACTACTTTGACAATCTTTTTAGATTTTTTTTGTGAACGATTTTCTTTTCAATTTGAAAATATTCCCTACTACTGTAGTTCAAATTGAAAAAAAACCTCTTGTCACAGCCAGTTCAAAAAAATAAATAAGAATCTCAACAGACGAGATATGTGATTGGAAACTCTAAAACGAAATGGCACAGTAAAACTTTGATTATATTACCAGGAAAACAAAGGTAACATTTTTTTGTAGTTTCACTTCAACAGATTCGATGTTTTAAATTAACAGTCCATCTAACATGAATAGTTCTATTTTTATTTGTAAGTTTTTTAAATTCAATCCTTATAAAGGTGGCGCAAGGGTTTATTAACCTCCTCATTTCGTTAAAACCGATGGTTCCGATCCATCACAAATAATAAGCAAAGCTGCTTAATTAACGTTCAACTACATCTTCATTTCAAGTGTTGGGTTAATGAACCCACAACTCACTCACTGAAATTATAATTAGATAAACTCACTAGATCGTTACTTGTGGAAAGAGTTTCTTGTTTATGAATCATTTCAAGTGTGTTTCAAGTGTCTATGAATAATTTCAACTGGATGTTTACCACAAGGCAGTGTACGAAATTGGTGTTTTTTATGGTGGATACATGGAAATATACTATTTTTTTATATTTCAACGAATGCATCAAATGTCTATACAACGGAGAGATGTTGACGAAAACTGTAGAACTATTTAATTGCCAAACTTTTGTTTAAAAAGATGAGCAAAGATGTTGTTCAAGTTCCCAGTAAACACGATTATTTTCGAAAAATCACCACCAATCTAATTAAATAGTTTTATATTTATTTTATACTACAAGAAATAAGGTCCGTTCAGTCTAGTTAGGAATTACAGGTCTATTATAGATGTGTAATTACAAAAACAGACTTAGAGGTAAGGCAAGTTTAAGCAATAAAAAGCTTAGTACCTCCCCATTAAAAGCGGTGCGAGGACGAAATACGTTTTACTGTTCCACAATTTCTGAGATAATTGAGTTGGAAGCTTCAATTAATTTAAAACTCACAACGACAAACCCTCAGACAGAAGAGAACATCAGGAATTCATGAGATCTCGCTTTTATTCTCATCTTTGCTTAATTGCGACGTCTTGCTGAAAGTCTCATGTTTGCTTTTACTTTAACAAATACATTTAGTCTCTTTTGTCCTTTTCTCTAATTACATCCTTTGTTCTGACGGTTCGTTTGTTCCTCTTCTGGAGTTTATTTTAACGGACAATCGGCTTTTCAAAGAATTACTTTTGTAGATAGCGCAAAAAAATCGCGAATTGAAAGTAATTAGGTGAACTGTGTGTAAATGCTTGTTTTAATATTGTTTAGTATTCACTCTTTGTTTATTATGAATTGTTAGTTACTTGGGTATCAGTTATAAGTTATCAATGATTGAGATGGGGACGCCACGTACGTGACTATTTTAACCAAACTATGAGTGTAGAATGTTGTGAGATGATCTGTGTAGCTTTGTTACTGACCAAGATCAGCCGTTTCATAAGCCAGGATCATTTATTAAGCTCAATGATCAGGAACAGCAGCTGGGTCCAGTTTCGAACCATCAAAAAGCTAATGACCTTTCTCAGGATTGAACACGTAATTGTCATGTATTGGATCGTAAATATATTTTTCACAACTTAACGATGTTTTTAGCCGTTTTGCAAACGTTAATTG